CTACCCAATGCTGTCTCCTGGTAATCAGAAAGGAACTTTTTTATGTGAAAACTAGGAGGAAAAGAAAGGGAGAGGAGAAGGAAATATTTATGTGTCAAACATATTCACAAGTACTATCTCATTGGATCTTCAGAAATATTCTATTTGGTAATATCTTTTTCATTTATTGAGGAGAAAATTAATAGTACGTTTAAGTGATTTTGCCAAGATCTTGGAATTCGTTAAGTGGTAAAGCCAAAGAACTGTATGCAAACCCAAAGTCTACTGTCTTTCCAGTCTACTCTACCAGCCTTACAAGTAACACACCTCTTCCAAAGTAAAAAGCAAATGTTCTGCCTACCAAGAGCAGGAAATAAAATGCAAAGAAGCTTTCTGTATAATAAGCATTCTATACTGAGCCAGGATGTTAATAGCAACTGTGAGGTTCTGGATACACCTATGGAGTCAGGCACAAGTGTGCAGCTAAATGTGCCCAGTCTCCTCAAGAAATGAGTCTTGAGGCCAGCACACCTGGGCCTGTGTCAGCTAGGGCCATGCCAGGTAATGCCTCTTCTTCCAAGGAACACATCCTGGTTCAGCCAGGATGCCATATGGGTCTCCGATTAATTTGAAGATGAAAAATTATGGCTTGAAGATGTTTTAGCTCCAAACACCAAGAAATGATGGTATTAACCTGTGAAATAATTTCAGCTTCTCCTACGAAATAACATAACTCAAATGTTGTTTTTGGTTCTAGGCCTCTGGTTTGGCATGGTTCATCTGGTCTGAAAATGTTCTGCCAAATGACAATTCATGCCACTGCCTTGACAGGAGTCACCTTTGGGGTCAGAAAATGGCAGGCTATTGTCTGCCCCAGTTAGAGATCCTGGTTTGTCTTTCTTTCTAAACAAATCCTGGCCTTTGGAACCTTTTCTGTAGAAAGTTTTCTTTTGCCTTCACTTTGTGCCTCCATGTGAATATGCTTGAATAATTTTTTCTCCCATATCTCTTAAACTTGTTCACTATTTTGAAGTGTTCAATCTAACCTTCCCATAGACTTGTATACAGAGAAGGCTCATGTCATTCATTTGACAAATATTGAGTGTCTACTGCATGCCAGGAACTATGCTAGCTACCTTGAGCAGTATGTAAACAAGATCAACGAAGTTTTTATCTCAAAGATCTTGAAATCCAGTGAGAGGAGACAGAAAATAGTGAAGCAAATACATAAATGGACAAAATAATTAGATTGTAAAAAAATGCTTAGAAACATACAAGCAAGGTTATGAGATATCAAATATCCAGCAAAGGCAACTTAAGGTAGAAGGCCAGGAAAGACCTCTCTGAGAGGGTAACATTTGAGCTGAGAGACAAGAGGGAATGAAGAGCTGAAATCACAAAATTATATGTTCCTTAGTAGCCTAGTGGTTAGGAAAAAAAAAAAATACACGTAGAGAGACAACACATGCAACAGCCCTGAGGTGGGAAACAGCTTTGTGCATTTGAGCAAGTTCCAGGAGGATAAGGAACAAGGAAACAAGATGGTATAAGATAAAGTTGGAAAGGTATGGGGACTCCAAATCATCTGAAGCCCTGTAGCAATGATATATATTATTTTATTCAATCCTTGCACAAATTTGTTAAGTACAGTTGTCCCTTGGTATCCCTGGGAGACTGGTTCCAGGACAGCGGCCCCCTCTCCAGGCAAATACCAAAATACAACAATGCCAAAATCTCTTATATTAAATAATGTGGTACTGTATATAACTTATGCACATCTTCCTTTATGCTTTAACTCTCTAGATTACTTGTAATGCCTAGTACAATGCAAATGCTATGGAAATAATTGTTAAACTGTATTGTTTTTAATTTGTATATTTTATTGTTTTTTTCCCCAAATATTTTCAACCTGTGATTGGTAAAATACATGGATAAGGAATTCACGGACACACAGGATCAGTTGTATTAATATGTCTTTTCTTTCCATGAAGAAACAGAGGTGTAGAGAATTTAACCAACGTGATAGTGAATTTTCTCCAAAGACCAAGAAGACCTGGGCATTGCAGAACTACTATTACCCTACAAAAATTTCCAAATTGACATTCTTTAATTAAAAATTTTCTCCAGGCTCTTGGATTGACTGGGCCTAGAAACACCCCAACATTTGTTGAAAAGTATGAATTTTTGCAGTCTTTCAAAAGAGACACCTTTAGCACAGTGACCTAAGGGTAAGTTTATATGATTTCTTCTCCCTAAAGGTGGTCATTGAAAACAGTTAATACAAGTTGGGATAAAGGGAGAAGGTGCCATTGAGCCTTGTCTTTGTGTAGTGGCAGGCAAGTACTTTAGGGGTGACCCATGAACACGTGGACACTTTGTGCTTTGTGAGAGTGCTTTTGTAAGTCCTTCAGAGTTCTCCTGTTTGGACCTTTCTCACTCCCAGAGATGCACTCTTCACCTGCTCTCTCATTATTTCTCTGCTAAGGGAAAGGTCCCCTCAGTCACCTATGTGCTGATGATTTTTAAAAACTGCTCAGCCTCAGTATCCCACCCATTTCTAGTTCCATGTCTCTCACTCCCTTCCACAGTGATTCACTATACATTTTTGTTGGCAACATACTTTGACATAACTCTAAAGATACATGAAGGGATTAAAAGATCAATACTGATTTTAAAATAAGTTTTGTAAGTTGAAAAAAGAAATTTACCCAATTAAAACACCACTCACTGATTTCCCTTAAGCTTTATGTCACTAAGTGAGTAGAAATATTCACTGCCCTGACCTCTCTTGCTTCTGTTGTTCAATGAGCTGAACTAAGTAGGATACAATAAAGTCAGGGTTTTTTCATCTTCTGCTGCCCTCAAGCTATTCTGCCAGATCTCTATTCTCTGTCCTCTTAGACCAATTCGATAGCTTTTCTGGCCATACCTGAATAATAGCAGAATATAATTATTTTGAAATATTAAAAATAAAGCTAAAACAAAATCCAATCTCTCAACCAATTTTAGGTTCCTCTCTTTCTTGGTATGCTATGACCCAAGAATTTTACAGATTAGCAGTTAAAAAATTGAGAACGCTCAATTCTTCACTGTTCCAACATGCTATTCTCCATCTTCTTCCCTTCCGTCACTGCGCTACTCTTGGTAACACCAGGTTGGGACAGAGAAAAAAGATGGAGAGGCAAAGAGGAAAAAGGTTTCATCCATGGAAAGTACTGCAGTTATCCAGCACCAGTGTGCTCTGTGGATATTTTCTGCTCTATGGGATTGTTTTTGTGGGTCCTTCAGAGTTCTGCTAGGACCCTTCCTAGCCCCAGAGATGCACTGTTAACCTACTTTCTCATTATTTCCTTCTCAGCTCCTGCTCCAATGGTACATTCCATAGACTCATTTCTTTGCTGCCTTTTGGCAAGTCCTGAGATATGTCCACCTTCTCTCTCAAAATAGGGGATTCTTCTCAGCCATTGTCTTCCAAGATAGGAAAAAGTCTCATGTGACATCTTATTGACTTAAATGCTTAAGAGGAAAAGATTTATTGCATCCCAGTTAAGTCCCCCATTTTTACATAAGTATTTTACCTCTTACTCCATCTTTCCCTCATTCAGTGGCTACCTGCTGTCCAGCACATTGTAGGCACTCTTGTTTTGACACTTCCTCTAACAGACATAATCATAAAAGACTCTGTTAGAGCTAAATAAATTTTACACATTAATCAAGGTCTGGTAGTATACTCTTTGAAGTTTTGATCCACTCCTGCCTTCCTGTATGTTTCCACTTGGATATCTCTTATCATTTCAAAATTAATATTTTCAAAGTAAAACAACACTCTTCTCTTCAAAATGGCTTCTTGTCAATAGGTAAGATATTCTTCCAGGCATTTATGATCGAAAACTTGGAGTCAACTTTTTGAGCCTTTTGCTATCTGCTGAGCCCAGTTGGTCACCACCCCCTTTCATACTTCTGGGGATCTTCTCCTTTAGGCCTCACATTACCTTACTCGGAATCTGCAGAGTCAGGTAACGTGAGGCCTAAAGGAGAGGCTAAAGCAAGGCTGCAGTAATCTTTTAATGAGCCCCGGAATACAGGATTTTCTTCCTCTAAGCCAGACTGAATATGGCTGACAAATCTTGCTTAAATCCTACTTTCGTAGTGATGTTCTAATTTTACTGCTCAAAAGCCTCTCTGTTTCCCTACTGATGCCTGAGAAAATTTCTAGACTCTTATCTATCTCTTAACACTTTAACCTTTTTTCCTGCTTTTCCATAACATGCAACTGATATTATAAACTAGACCATTGTTCTATGAATATATATTTTGATGTGACCATTTTGATTCTGGGACATTTTATTGTAAACATTAAGCCATTGAACTGTTAGTTTTTGCTGTTGCCTGGATGCCCAATTATCTATCCTCCCTCAATGTGCTTCACCTCATCTTGACCTTAATACATCCTGAATACATCCATGACCCTTGGAGGTGGGGTGAAGATTGGGGTGAGGGAAAGGAAGGGCTGAGGTACTGGAAAAATCAGACTCTGAGATAGAATAGAGTTCAAAGACAGGAGCAGGAATAAGGTGAAACTTAGGGATGGGAAAAGGAAGGGGAATGTATATAACATTTTGTGGTTGAAAAATGTTTTACATTTGACTCAGTATGTAAAAATGTCTGCACTAAATTTTGTTCATTCCCTCCTGGACACATAAAGTTTACAATACTTCTAAGCCCTTGCTGTTCCTTGAGTGCCCTCTATTTGTATACAGGTCCACAAATACTGAGTGTCTCCCCCTGTCGTAGTAGTTACAGTGACAGAGGTGAGTAAAACATGAGAGAAAATCCTTTCCTGAAGGATCTCACAGGCTAGGGGGTAGACAGGTTGGTTATTAAGTTTAATATGAAAAATGGCTTCAAATTGTGGGAGCACCAAGGTGACACAGCCATGTTGGTGGCTGATTTCATGGGTCACTCATTTTTGCCTAAGCACTTCCTTCTCCCGGCAGAAAGGTCAGACAGAATTTTCTTACCTATGCTGTGAAGAGGTGCAGGTTAGGCCTTGGGACATCTCCAAAAGAGTTTAGATTCTCCAGCTCAACCTGCACAGAAAGGAAGTAGATTTAAGGTAAACAGACTAATAAGTTACATTACACAGAATCACAATACCTATACTATATACACTTGCCTCATAATTTTATTTCTACAGTGCCAGTTTTCATCCTTGAAACTATGACACCTTATTGGGGGAAATCAAGGCAGAGAGGGTAAATGATTTGATTCATGGTTTCAGACAAAGTAAACCTCCTAGCTAAGTTTGTAAAACTTAAACAGTCTCTTGCAAGCTTTGGGTTTAGAGCCTTCCTAGCTATGAGCTTTCTTTATTTAAGACCTGTCAATACTGTCTATGATTCAGTTGTAAATTTCCTGCAACACCTTATTTCATCATTACTGGTGAATGTTGTTCTTGTCATACTTAAATTTACACTTAATTTTACACTTAATTTATACTCAATGCAAAGACATATGTATCATACTAGGGCATAGGGAGCAAACTGTTCAGACTCATGGAGTTGGATACTCCCTTTCACTTAGATAGTATGCCAAGGTTTATAAAGCACTTTCTCACATGAATTTAAAGTATTGACTTCTAAATGAGGTAGATAATGGTATAGAGATGTGGGGCAGAGGGCTAAAAAGAAAACTCCAGATGTTCATGCTGCTTGTTTATGTTGATAAATAATTGTTTCTAAATTCATAGCTTTGGGTCAGGTGCAGTGGCTCATGCCTATAATCCTAGCACTTTGGGAGGCCAAGGTGGGCATATTGGATTGCTAAGTTAAGGAGTTCAAGACCAGCCTGGGCAACATGGCAAAACCCCATTTCTACTAAAAATCCCAAAATTAGTCAGGAATGGTGGTACATGCCTGTAGTCCCAGCTACTCTTAATTGTTAAGAAAGTCTGTGTGGGAGTTTGTCATTTCTGCTTCACAAAATTCAAATGTTTAAGTGTAATTTATTTCCCTAAATACAGCATAAACTCTTGAGGACAGATAATTTTGTCTTATAGTGCTCAGTCAGTGAATACCTATTGATTGATTGATAGCATCAATTTTTGAATCATATGTATCCCATTTCACAATGTGCTAACTGCAGTACAAAATTATTTCTCTATTTGGGGTCAGGTGTTTGACCATAAAAAGACAAGAAGTCAAAAACAAGTAGAAAAAATGAAGGAGTATATTAAAATTTAGAAAGACCAGGCTCTTATCCAAAAGTCCTCAACCCAAAGTAATTTTGTTTATAGCTTGATTTTTCCATTAGAGGAAAAATTGTTTTAGGTTACTTGGATTGATTCAGTAGTTAACATGTTTAAATTGTAGAGACTGGGTGGCCTTTTTGTTTTGTTAATGCCAGATGTAATTTTGTAATAAAACAATTTTTCTTTATTTAAAAACCACATTCAAATTATGAAATAGGAATTCTACCCTCTTTGCTCTTCTTTTTTCTCATTTCCTTCAATTCCTCTGAAATTATCCTCTTGCAAATCAATGGATTTGTGAATTCTGACCATCATCCATAAGGAAGCAACAAGAATTTGTGGCCCAGATTTGTAAATAATCCCATGGATCAGATTATGGTGGCCATCTCTTTTTTGGATACAGGGATTATTTCTTATTTATCTACAGGTCCTAGAGCACATAGCACATAGGAGGTATATAAATAGTGCTTGAAAGAAAAGTATATATGGAAAGAGTAGAGAGAAAAGGCCAGAGCTTTTATGTAATAGCTTGTCTAATACTGGTGACCATTTCCACTGTAGCAACAGAAATATTTTTAAGGGAAAGACAAAAAGTCTGCAAGACATCCATGAAATAAGTCATTGTGCCCAGCTCCCATAATTTATGCAGCACCTTCTGTGAGATTCTATACTCCTTACATCATTGTTACCATTTGTAATCTTATTTAATTTTTTTATTAATTCTTTTTTCCTAAAAATATTTACAAAGGAAGCAAAAGCAATTCTGATACAAATCAGAAGAGCAGTTGCCCACAAAAGATGGAAATTGACCAGGACTTTCTGGGGAGATGAAAATGTTCTAAAGCTCAATGTGGTAAATATATTTGTTAAACTCATTGAATTACATGCCTAAGAACTGGGCAGATTAAGGAATTTATTTTTTTTCTGTAACTAAGAATATATTTAAGGTAAATAAATAGATCAAGTAACTAAATAAATCTAATAAATAGATCAAGTAACTAAACATACTCAAAATTAAAGCAAATAGTGTTATTAAATTCTAGATACTACTCCTTATAGAAGGCTCTAAACCTGATACCTGCTTTCTTTTAAAACAAATTACTAAGCAATTAAAAAAGAATAAAGACATGTTAGTAATTATACACATATGTAAACATAGATATATACACACAAATACATACGTGTGTGTGTATGTGTGTATGTGTGTGTGTATATATATATATATATTTTTCCCCCTAGATGGAGTCTTGCCCTGTCACCTAGGCTGGAGTACAGTGGCATGATCTCAGCCCACTGCAACATCTGCCTCCCAGGTTCAAGCAATTCACCTGCCTCAGCCTCCCAAGTAGCTGGAATTACAGGCGTGTAGCACCATACCCAGCTAATTTTCGTATTTTCAGTAGATATGCGGTTTCACCGTGTTAGCCAGGATGGTCTCAAACTCCTGACCTCGTGATCCACTCGCCTCGGCCTCCCAAAGTGCTGGGATTACAGGTGTGAGCCACTGCATCCAGCATAGTTTTATATCTTCTTCTTCCCTTTCCTTTATTTAGACAATATATTAGTACCCTGCCTTCTACTGTCAAATAGCCATATGTGAGGTCAGAAAAGACAGGCTTCCCAGATAAGGAAGGCAGACCTGTGCAGAGGAGGCTAATCTGAACACAGGGCAAATCCATTCGCCAGGGGTGTGGTGGCCCAGCACTACCAGAAGATTGGCCATACTCAGGGAGATTGAGCAGATAATAAATATATTGTGAATAACGAGAGCAAGGTTTTTCACTATTGGAAAGTTACAATTAAGGAAAAGATAAAGCAATAATAAACTCAGCCAATATCAGATTAAAATTGAAGGTACCAGAGTGAGCTATTAGTTTTAGTTGTAGATGTAAATAGAAATACATATAAACATAAATGTGTATGTGGTTCCTAGCTATCTGCTGAAAGAGCCTAAGAGCAGTGGTATTCCAGTAGTAATAATTACCTAACGCTCATATCTTCGTTTGAAATACAAAAATGAACGAAGGCTCCTTGAAGAAATGACTGAATCCAAGGCTGAGTCTGAGAAAGAATGTGATAAGCCTGGAACACCTTTCTTTCTTTTTTTTTTTAATATATATTTTATTGCATTTTAGGTTCTGGGGTACATGTGAAGAACATGCAGGATTGTTGCATAGGTACATACATAGCAATGTGGTTTGCTGCCTCCATCCCCATCACCTATATCTGGCATTTCTCCCCATGTTATCCCTCCCCAACTCCCTACCCCCCACTGTCCCTCCCTAGTCCCCCTCAACAGACCTCAGTGTGTGATGCTCCCTTCCCTGTGTCCATGTGTTCTATTGTTCAACACCTGCCTATGAGTGGAACATGCAGTGTTTTTCTGTTCTTGTGTCAATTTGCTGAGAATGATGGTTTCCAGGTTTAACCATGTCCCTACAAAAGACATGAACTCATTGTTTTTTATAGCTGCATAGTATTCCATAGTGTGTATGTGCCACATTTTCCCTGTCCAGTCTATCAACGATGGGCATTTGGGTTGGTTTCAAGTCTTTGCTATTATAAACAGTGTTGCAATGAACATACGTGTGCATGTGTCTTTACAATAAGTAAGGAAATACTCAAAGAATGAGGACATATTAAAATAACACAGAAGTAAGCTTGAAGGAACTGGCTCCCAGTGACCAAAGTACAATTGGAGCATTAAAATAATACTAAAATAACAAATTATAACCCATTGAATAATCTAGTACCCCATTGATAAAAATAAATAAATGGATAAGCCAGGTGCAGTGGTGGCTCATGCCTGTAATTCCAGTAATTCCAGCACTTTAGGAGGCTGAGGAGGCAGTGTTATTTGAGTCCAGAAGTTCAAGACCAGCCTGGGAAACATAGTGAGACTCCGATCTCTACAAAAAAATAAAATAACTAGCCAGGCATGGTGGCATGTACCTGTAGTCCCTGCTACTCAGGAGGCTGAGGTGAGATCGCTTGACTCTAGGAGGTTGAGGCTGCAATAAGCCATGATTGTACCACTTCACTTCAGCCTGAGTGACAGAGTGAGACCCTTTTTCACAATAAGAAGAAATTAAATAAATGGGTAGAAGAGTAAGCTCTTCCTTACACTAGAAAGCTTCCAATTAAATGTGGAAGGAATATTGTCTAAAAAGTTTACCATTTGGCAATAAACGTAATAATAATTAACCCAAGCAAGAAACTTCAATGGATACTAAAACTAGTAGGTCAAAATGAGGTAAGGAAAGAGATTTTTACATAGTCCCAAAGTATCTCCATTGAAAATATTTGTTAATTACAAAGGGAAAAAAGAAGTAGAGAAACCTGGTAGACCTAATCTTAATCAAGGGATTGAAACAAACACCATCAGCAATGGGACACATAGATATCATGTGCAATCAGATAGGATGGTAATGAAAATAAAGTAGTAAGAGTGACAGTCAGATCAAAAATGCATAACCTAGGTCTAGTCATAAGGAACCACTGGCGAACTCAAATTGAAGGATATATTGTAAAACAACTGGTCGATCTTCAAAAATGCTGAAGTATGGGTGCAAAAAGAGGACATTGTCTAAATTCTGCTTAGAGATGTTAGGAAAGGCTTACTAAAGGAGATAACTTAGATATAGTCTTGTAAAATGAAGCCGTTGTCATATAAATTAGAGAGGAAGTCATTCTGGGCATACATGACAGCATTTGCAAAGGTGTGGAATTCTGGGGACCAGAGTGAGTTGGATGCCTAGAAAGCACAGAAAGATGGTAGCTGCAGCCAGGGAGATGGGCTGGGGCCAAATTATGAAGGATCACTCTGTATTTTGCATAGTAAAATGAGTTCACAAAAATTGAGTGATTAATTCTGGAAGCGTTGGAAAAGACATTATAGCTGATGGGTTAGTCCAGGTCCTCTGAGAAGCAGATGCCGAGTCTGGATTGAATACAGAAGGAGTTTATTAAGAAAAATGCACGCATGAAAGAAAATATGGTAGGAGCTGGAAAGGGCGGAGAGAGCCATGAGATTGTAAAGTATGACCCCAAGTGAAGATGAGAGGTAAAGATATTCAGCAAAGCCATTCATGAATCCTTCAGCCAAAGGAAATGACAGAGTAGTCCCCTTCTCTCCCAGGATTCAGGCTGCCTTACGATTCCTACCTCATTTTGTAGTTGGTAGGAACTAGCCTATGGTAGGCATGGCCTCAGTGGGAACACAAGACTGGGCTTCAAAGTGCAGCAGCAGGGACCCTTGGTCCATTATGATCCCTGTAATAGAAAGACAAGCACATTCTCATTACCACCACATATTTTAGAAGAAGAGGTGAAGGTAATTCCAGGGAGACGTTTGAAGGATTTTAAATGCAAGTATTTGGTATTTCACCTTTCTTTTTAAGTATCAATTTCCCCTTAGTTACAAGAGTCATGGACATTTTTTAGCTGAGCTGTGATCACATTTGTCAATTTGTGGTTAGTAAACATGGACATCTAATCTGGGAGAGTCTATCATTTTGCTTTGCCTTAATGTGGTTAGTCTTCTGTTTTTAGTCTCCAGTGTACCTGTGGAGGCTATCCTCAATATTACATAACTGTTTTTTCCCTGGAGGTACTTGATGTGTTATGGAACACAAGTTGTTGTACACTGAACACATGCTGGTTAGTAACTACATATGCCTCTAATAAAAATAGAAAAATAAATTCAACTTCTATTTAGTAGAAAGACACATTTCTTCTTAAACATTGTTATTGGAGAAAATTGGTAGTAAGAAACAGCAAAAGTATTTTTGATTTTCAAAAGGTTGGGAACAATTAAAATCAACTAATTTTGTTGAGATTCTGATGAGTTTGAAAGGACTATAAATCCATAACAAAATTTCCAGTTGCTTTAGCTTATTCTTAATTGCAAATTTTCTAAACCCCATTAAAGAAAAGAAATCATCTTTCTAGACTCATTTTGTCAGGTATGGAGTATCTTCCTTCTTTATCAAGTACATAAAAAGTCCCCCAAATTGCATAAGAAACACCTATATGACTCATTGCATATTTGGTGAGTAATGAAATTAACACTACTTAAAAAATCTTTAAAAGTCTTTAACTATTTAAATATTGTAGCCACTATTTTTAAAAATCTTATTTACATTTATTAACTGCTAGCAGTGGGAACTTTTTTAACTCTGAGAAACAGATTCAAGATGCCCAGTGTAGATTCAAAAAAACTTAACAATGTGCCCTTTCCTCAAAGGATAATGTATCTGTTCCAAATGGTGCCATTTAAAAACACAACAGAGCATTTAATTGGGTAAAAAAAACTGGTGCCTAAATTTTATAACATTTTTTCATTCAATGGTAAGAAAATTGTTATTTTAAAAATGAGATACATACAGGAGGTAGCTTAACTGAGGAATCACGCTAAAGATGTGTCTTTAAAATAGCTGCTACATGAATGATAGCTTTGACATTTGGTCTTCAAGACTATTCTGTTAAATGCTCCACTATACATGAATAGTGCAGCAATATTTTTTTGTGTGATGAAGGTGGTGAAGAATTTCTAGGTTTTAGAAAATAATCATTTAATGGCTTTCATTATAAATGTCATTCCTGGCCTCATATATGCTGTGGTTACTTGTTCCTGGTCAGAAATGCATTGATTTGCTCAGAATAGACACTTACCTTTTGAAGAGCAATCCTGGTGTGGTCAGCCTGATGCAATTTTTATAGGACATTGCTATGAATTTGCTTGATTTTGGATGTGGGTACAAAGGTCGGTTTTGGTCATTTTATTTTAAAGGCTGTCTTGTAGGTGCACCAAATCCACTGGTCCTTCAGAGAAAAGGAAGGAAAAGATGCAGCTTCTTCATGGGTCAAGGTTGCTGCATTGCTTCTTATTCCACATGTGATGCAACAAAGTATTATACTCCTTTTTCTTCAAGTTAGAATTGTATTTCCCAAAATTACATACGACAGACCTGAGTTAGAAAAGATAAACAAGGCCGGGAGCGGTGGCTCCTGCCTGTAATACCAGCACTTTGGGAGGCCGAGGTGGGTGGCACCTGAGGTCAGGAGTTTGAGACCAGCCTGGCCAAAATAGTGGAACCCTGTCTCTACTACAAATACAAAAAATTAGGCAGCGTGGTGATGCGTGCCTGTAGTCTTAGCTACTTAGGAGGCTGAGGTGAATCGCTTGAGCCCAGTAGGTGGAGGTTGTAGTGAGCCGAGATTGCGCCACTGCACTCCAGCCTGAGTGACGGAATGAGACTCTGTCTCAATCAAAAAAAAAAAAAAGAGAAACTATTTATTCACTTATTGCCAGATACTTATTGTGGCAGAGAGGATTTTTTAAAAAGGTGTAAAATAGATTATTTCTTTAAGAAAGCCATATGTAACTGTAGTGATTGAGTTCTTAAAATGTGGTCCAAACTGAGATATGCTGTAAGTGTAAAATAAACATTGCATATTAAGGCCTTAAACAAAAAAGAATATAAAACATTCTATTTTTATGTTGATTACCTGCTGAAAAAATTTTGAATATATCAGTTTAAATGGACTATACTATTAAAATTCGTTTCACCTGTTTCATTTTCCTTTTCTCAATGTGGCTTCTCCAACATATAAAATTACAGTGTGGCTAAAATTTGTGGCCTGCATTGCATTTATATTGGACAGCACTAGTCTAGAATATTCAATCTATTGAAATCCTCAGACATCACTTAATCTCTTCCATTCTTTGTGCCTAGCACAAAATTTCTGTGAGGGTCCAGCTTAGCTTTGCAAGGACACTGGCCATGTTAATTGATGACAAAATTGAGATCCTCTAAGACAGTGTATAGAGCTGGAAGCACTCAGGTATGAAAGAACCAGATGAGGTTTAAAGGTAGAAACCTTAGCCTTTACCCTTTGACATATCACTGGGACACATGTGGAAAATGTAACTTGAATTGAGAGATGTTTCTGTAGTACAGAAGTTACTGGACTGGAGCCTGTGAGAGACCTGAAGACTTTTCATAAACCTCTTGATATTATAAACAAAATTAATGTGCAGGTGCTGTTTTTGTTAGTGAGCCTGTAATTTTAACTAGTTTTTTCAAAGGTTCAGGAACCATGGCTTCAAAAAGAATACTAATTCTAGGAAGATATGGCTCATTCAGACAGGTTATTATCTCATAATTACTGGTACGTTGTCATCCATGTCTGTGAATATTAGTATTCTTAATAATGTGAATATGTGCATTCATATGTCATGGAGATCTAAATGGTGTTTGGTCATCCTACAGACAACATTTTGAGAAAACTGTATCATGGAAGTCAAAGATCATGGTGATTGGTGAACAGTAACAGTAAGTGTGAGACAAGTAGACTATCAATGGCATTACAAGGAAAGGCTACCTGGCTGAATTACGTCCCAGGAAACTAAGCTATTGATGATTCAGTGAAAAACAAAAAAACAAAAAAAAAAACCAACAACTCTTGTAGTTCTCACCCTAAATAAATGTTATAAACCCAGTTCTTTTTGGAAGAAAACCTCATTCATTTCTTTATTTTTTTGGGCTATCAGAGCACTTTCCTTCTATTACAAAATATTCCCTGTTTATATTCTACGTTTCAAAATTGATATATCTGTCTCACTCTATACTAAAAAGAGTTCTTCAAGAACAAGAAGCACTTTTCTTTATTGCCCCCAATGCATTGCAAATAGACACTCAATAGTTGTTGAGTAAAATAATAAGTTAATGGTTGCTGCCTGATTTCTATACATTTCAAAATAAAAGACAACCTATGAACAAATACAACTTTAAAGATTAGAATTTTGAGGGGGCTAAATAAAAGGGTAGAGCTGTACAGAGTTTTAGTCACACCAACTAGATTTAGCATTTGACCCTGTTCAATGTTCAAAAATCAAACTGATCTGAAGAAAGATTGCATGCAGGACTGCAGCTGTGATATACTTCTCCCAGGCCCAAACTGTGCTGAGTCATTCATCACAGTTCGTTTGTGAGAGAAGGAAACAAACTGTTAAGTTAGAGAAATATAAGCAGTCGTAGATCTGGGAGTCATCAGGAAATATTTGATACTTTAAAGAACTGACTGAAAGTTAAACAGGTTAATGTGACATTTCAAAGGGATTTTGAAATTCAATAGCTTTCTCCAGCAGTTGATGTTTACTCTCTGGTTGTAAGGCAAATGTTTAATTTCTTCAAAGGAACAAAGATAGATTCTAGTATAACTAGATAGGTTCAACACTCACTATAAATTTTTGGTTTTTTTTTTTTCTCTTCTCCCTGACCCTTCCCCATCTCATGAAAAAATACTATGTATGTATGTATACAATGGAAATGAAGAAAACATCTGGCTGGCATTTAAACATGGTTTTCTTCATCATCAAAGGGGTTTGTATGAAAACAATAATTTTACAGTCAGAAGTACATTGTCATATAAAAGAGAAAAGCAGAATAATAAGGAATATACATCAATTCAGGAAGAAGACATATTCTTTTTCTTACCAAATCAGCACTGTATAAAAATGTAAGATGTTTGCCATGATTAAGTGAAAGTCGTATGAGTCAAATCATCTCTTTCAGAAGCACATTAACAAATGTTGGTTAGTAAGGCTAATAATGACAAAGATACGTAATAGAGCATATTGTATTACTTACAGACTAGGATGTAAATTGTTCAGTTGTGCATACAAAACAATTTTGCAAAGTTTTATTAAGATCCTGAAAAATCCTATTTAGGTGAATCAGTTACCATGTAAAGTTGAAGAACATACTTTAACTTAACATTCAGAAGAAAGAAGCCTTAAAATTCATCTATTCTAAACTTATTATTGATTTGGTTATAAATAACAGAAATCCAACCTGAATGGATTCCATTTTTTTAAAAAGGGGGAGAGAGGACAGAGAAATTTCATGGCTTGTAAAACCCGAGAATGGGGCCAGGTGTGGTGGCTCATGCCTGTTGTTCTAGCACTTTTGGATGCCAAGGTGGGAGGATCATGTGACCCCAGGAAATTAAGACCAGCCTGGGCAACAGAGAGAAACCTGTCACTACAAAAAAATTTTTTAAAAAAATTACCCCAGCCTGGTGGCACACACCTGTGGTCCCAGTTACTTGGAAGGCTGAGATGAGAGGACCACTTGAACCTGAGAGGTTAAAGCTGCAGTGAGCCATGATCATATCACTGCACTCCAGCCTGGGTGATAGTGCAAGACCCAGAAAGAGAGAAAGAAAGAGAGAAAGAGAGAGAAAGAAGAAAGAGAGGGAGGGAGGGAGGGAGGAAGGAAGGAATGAAGGAAGGAAGGAAGGAAGGAGGGAACGAACCCAGGAATGGGTACAAAACTAAACCATGGGCAGGGTATAGATACACCTGGACTTCTGAACAACTGGGATCAAGAATGTGAAAGCTCCCAAGAAGAGCTCTCCAACTCCTGCCTTTTTATTTTCCTTCTGCAAGTTACCACTCTTTTTTACATGGTGAAAATAAGGCCCTGAGAGTTTTTAAGTTTTACATCTTTCAGACTTTGAAGTGGGCCCAATAAATCCCCTTTTCTTATTAAATTTTTTTAAAAATAGGAAAGATCTAGGTTGGTTCAGTCTCCTTTAGCCAGATTAGCCTAGTTTACATCATAGACCACCCCTGGACCAATTAAATGTGATAAGAATGGAACAAGAAATTCAGGGTGATGGTGCAGTGATAGAGGGTGGTCATGAAATGACATGGAAGATTGCAAATGGCCACACAGAGAAGAATCAGCTCCGCAAGTGATTCTGACATGTCCAATACAAACTCCATCATTTTACAGGTAAGTAAGCAGAGATATGTTGTTTTAGGCTATTGGACAAACAAGTACAACTGGGACTAAAACAAAAATAAAAAAGATACTACTTTGTGCATGCCCTATTTAACCCTTGCATATATAAATATTCACGTTTAATACAACCACCTTATAAAATAGGTATTAACATTCCCATTTTTTAGATGAGTAAACTGAGGTTTAGAGATAAATGTATACACAAGACTCATTCCAAAATCTGTGCTCTTTCAAAATAATACTGATACATTGTTTTTGTAAAATGGATATATGTTCATTATAAACATTTTAACACAGAAAACCATTTTCAAAGAATGACTAAACATATCAAATCCCTACACCTAGAATTAAACATCACAATAAAAAATATCTTTTATGTATCACTAAGGACAGAAGAGTAATAGAAAAACACATTTTTTTAAGCTTTACTTTTAAGTTTTAGGATACATGTGCAGAACATGAAGGTTTGTTACATAGGTATACACGTGCCATAGTGGTTAGCTGCACCCATCAACCTGTCATCTACATTAGGTATTTCTCCTAATGTGAATGCTCCCCCTAATCCCCCACCACCCAACAGGCTACACTGTGTGATGTGGCTCTCCCTGTGTCCATGTGTTCTCATTGTTCAACTCCCACTTATGAGTGAGAACATGTGGTGTTTGGTTTTCTGCTACTGGGTTAGTTTGCTGAGAATGATGGTTTCCAGCTTCATCCATGTTCCTGAAAAGGACATGAACTCATCCTTTTTTATGGCTGCATAGTATTCCATGGTGTATATGTGCCACATTTTCTTTATCCAGTCTATCGATGATGGGTATGTGGTTTGGTTCCAAGTCTTTGCTATTGTGAACAATGCTGCAATATATGTGCATGTTTCATTGTAGTAGAAATGATTTATAATTCTTTGGGTATATACCCAGTAATGGGATTGCTGGGTCAAATGGTATTTCTATTTCTAGATCCTTGAGGAATTGCCACGCTGTCTTTCACTATGGTGGAACTGATTTACACTTCCACCAACAGTGTAAAAGTGTTCCTGTTTCTCCACATCCTCTCCAGCATCTGTTGTAGCCTGACTTTTTGGTGATCGCCATTCTAACTGGCATGAGTGCCGGGAACTCTTGACCAGCAAGAAGATTCCAACCTGAGTGGGGGGTGCGCAAGAAGAAAAGGAGACAGGAAAGCAGGGTCAGGAGGGTTGAGGAATCAGTGCTCCAACAACAACTTTATTCTTTCAGTCAG